CCGCCGGCCAGCTCTCTCGGGGGCTGCACAGGTGTTCCTTCAGATAGATGTTCCTGGTGCATGTTGTCTCTCTCCTCCTTTATAGTCCTCTTCCGCCAATCCCAACTCGGCTGCCCACACGCCGAGTACGCTGCTCTCCTCCAATCAGGAGTGACTCTTGCAGCTTGTCAAGTTGGTGAGAGGCAGCTGGGTAGAAGCTGTACGCTCCTCTCCCAGCGCCACATTGTGGGAGAGCAGATGCATAGAATAAGTCTTAATTCCAGTAACAGTATAGTCCGAGTTGCTCTCCACAGATCCCCCTTTCTTTTTATTTTTTTGGCGCTGATACGCGCCTGTCTTCGGTGCCCCACAGCACACACTCTGCTCTGCTTGCTAGAGTTGCCCACAGGTGCTTACAAGCCCTACCAATCAGGCAAACTGAATCCGGGTCCTCTCTTTGCCATGTTGTGAGGAGGTTTTTAGGTGCTGATGCGTGCCTGAGTTCGGTGCCCTGCAGCGCATGCTCTGCTCTGCTAGAACTGCCTGCAGGTGCTTACAAGCCCTAGCAATCAGGCAAACCGAATCCAAGCCTTCTCATTGCCGTCTTGTGGGGAGACTTATTGGTGTTGATAACGTGCCTGTCTTTGGTGACCTGCAGCTCATACTCTGGTCGAGCTGCCTACTGGTGCTTATCACCTTACTAATCAGGCAGACCGAATCCAAGCCTTCTCATTGCGGTATTGTGGGGAGACTTATTGATGTTAATTCGTGCCTGTCTTCGGTGACCTGTGGCGCATAAGCTGCTAGCCGCCCGCAGGTGCTCACCACCTCCCTAATCAGGCAGACCGAATCCAAGCTCTCTCATTGCCATGTTGAGGGGAGGCCTTATTTTTCTCTATTTCTCTATCTCTGGGCATTCCTATCTCTCCTATTTTACTTCTAAACTTCTGTTTCTCTTATCCCTGCGGCTTCCCGGCGCCCGCCCCGAGGCTACTTCTCGGCGGCTTCCCGGCTCTGAGCCGCTTCAGCCCGTGCTTCTCTCATCTGCGCGGCTTCCTGGCTTCGCGCGCCCGCACCACGGCCTCGCACTAGCCCCACGTTCCCTATCTATTCACGCCCCGTGCTCTCTCTGCACGCGGCGGCTTCCACGAGTCACACAGCACAGCTTACGTTTCCGCCACCACCGGCATTCAGTCCAAGTTCCCCGGGCTAACCTGGCGAATTCCAACCTGGCGGCCCACGTCTCTGCCTCTGGTTCCAGATTTTCGCCTTTTGCTCCCCGGGCTGACTTGAAGAATCCCAAGATAGCTTATGTCTCCGCTTCAGCCTGCACTCGCGGCTTCATCCTCCCTAACATTTTTCTCTACCCGGTATGTTTCCCTAAGTTTTCTTCCAACAATATTCCTCCCTCATTTCTCCTGGCCTCTCCCCACAGTCCGTATCCAAGTCTAAGTTTCTTATAGGTTTCACTTTCACTTTCAACCTGCAGTCCGTATCTAAGTTTCTTCTTGCTTTCACTTTAAATCCTAACTTCTTTCCCACAGTCCGTATCCGAGTCTATGCCTAGGCTTTCGATAGCTTCTTCCGGCACCTTTTCTGTCCGGCTTTTCCCTAGGCTCTTTGCTAGTCTCTCTCTCCGGTATTTTCCACTTCTTCCCGTTTCTTCCCTCCTAAGTTTCCTATCCGTCCTAGGTTTCCTATCCGAGTCACGGCACCATTATGTCGCTCCCTGTCTTGGTGGAGGAACGACACAGGACCCTGCGTTGTTCTTTCGTCTGCTCGGCCCTTCCCGGGTTTGCTGCTGGTTCTTCCCGGGTTGGCTACCGACCCTTCCACCTCCGTGGAAGGGCGGTTCCCCCTGCCACTTTCCCCACTTCCGCGGGGGAGCGGCACACCGCCGGCCGGCTCTCTCGGGGGCTGCACAGGTGTTCCTTCAGATAGATGTTCCCGGTGCATGTTGTCTCTCTCCTCCTTTATAGTCCTCTTCCGCCAATCCCAACTCGGCTGCCCACACGCCGAGTACGCTGCTCTCCTCCAATCAGGAGTGACTCTTGCAGCTTGTCAAGTTGGTGAGAGGCAGCTGGGTAGAAGCTGTACGCTCCTCTCCCAGCGCCACATTGTGGGAGAGCAGATGCATAGAATAAGTCTTAATTCCAGTAACAGTATAGTCCGAGTTGCTCCCCACACCTAACTCCTTACTGCAGCATGCCAGGCCCACCCTTGGCTTAGCCTCAACAGCTGTCTAACCTTGTTTTCCTCCCCAAACTCTCTGTTAAGCTACTCACAGAGCCTACTGTTGGATGGTTCAATGCTTTTGGTCTTTCCATGGGCTTCTCCATGTCTAATATCCTTCTTCTTCTTCTTCTTCTTTTTTTTTTTTAAAGATTTGTTTATTTATTTGAAAGGAAGAGTTACAGAGAGGAAGAGGCAGAGAGAGAGAGGTCTTCCATCTGCTGGTTCACTCCCCAGATGGCTGCAATGGCTGGAACTGCACCAATCTGAAGCCAGGAGCCAGGAGCTTCTTCCGGGTCTCCCACATGGCTGCAGGGGCCCAAGGACTTAGGCCATCTTCGCTGATTTCCAAGGTCACAGCAGAGAGCTGGATTGGAAGTGGAATAGCTGGGTCTCGAACCGGTGCCCATGTAGGAAGACAGTGCTTCAGGCCAGGGCGTTAACCCACTGTGCCACAGTGTCAGCCCCTAATATCCTTCTTTTTAACATTGAAATTCATCTGTCCTTTCAGGCCTAGCTCAAGGCCATCTCTTCCATAAAGTCTCTTCTGAAATCATGTGACCTTAAAATTTACCCTCTTAACCATTTTTAAGTGTATAGTGCGAAGTCATTAAGGACATAGACATTGCACCACCATCACCACCATCCATCTGCAGAAACTTCTCATTCTGCAAAACTGAGGAGGCTTTGTACCCATTAAACGCTAACTCCATGGTCTTCTCCCAGATCCTGGTGACTACTATTACTCTTTCTGTCTTTGACTTTGAGAATCCTAGGTGCACGAAATGAGCAAAATCATATAGCATGCTTTTTTTTTTTTTTAAATAAACCTCAGGAGCTGGTGCTGTGGTGTAGTGGATAAATACACTGCCTGCAGTGCCAGCATCCCATATGGGTGCTGGTTCAAATCCTGGATGCTCCACTTCCAGTCCAGCTCTCTGCTATGGCCTGGGAAAGTAGTGGAAGATGGTCCAAGTCCTTGGGTCCCTGCACCCACGTGGGAGACCCAGAGGAAGCTCCTGGCTCCTGACTTCGGATTGGTGCAGCTCCAGCCATTGCAGCGATCTGGGGAGTGAACCAGCGGACGGAAGACCTCTCTCTCTCTCTCTCTCTCTGCCTCTGCCTATCTGTAACTTTGCCTTTCAAATAAATAAACAAATCTTAAAAAAAAGAAAACCTCAAACTTCAGAATGGTCTTAAATTTGTCAAACAAAAACTGTGAAATAGTACAAGGAGTTTCATGTGTCTCACATCCAGCTTATCTTACTAGTATTTGTCTTCCTGTGACTGGCTTATCTCCCTTAGCATAATGTCTTCAAGGTTCATCCATATCATATGTGTCAGAAGTTGCTTTTTTTAAAAAAAAAGATTTATTTATTTGTTTGAAAGTCAGAGTCACATAGAGACAGAAGGAGAGGCTGCCTCTGAGATGCACATTAGCAAGAAGCTGTAACTAGAAGCTGAGCTGGGACTTGAACTCAGGCACTCCGATATGGGATATGTGTCCCAAGTGACGTCTTTTTTTTTTTTTTTAAAGATTTATTTATTTATTTGAAAGTCAGAGTTACACAGAAAGAGAAGGAGAGGCAGAGAGAGAGAGAGAGAGAGAAAGAGAGAGGAATTCCATCTGATGGTTCACTCCCCAAATGGCTGGAGCTGTGCCAATCTGAAGCCAGGAGCCAGGAGCTTCTTCTAGGTCTCCCACGCGGGTGCAGGGGCCCAAGGACTTGGGCCATCTTCTACTGCTTTCCCAGGCCATAGCAAGAGCTGGATCAGAAGTGGAGCAGCCGGGTTTTGAACCAGCGCCCATATGGGATGCCAGCACTTCAGGCTAAGGGTGTTAACCAACTGTGCCACAGTGCCAGCCCCCCAAATGACGTCTTAATCTCCGGGCCAAATGCCCACCCCTAAGTTCAAATTTCTGAGGAGCAGAAATATTTGTTTCCACAGCAGCTGCCCCACTTAACATTCCTGACACCACATGGCCTTTTAACAGTGCTCTGCATTAGTTACTACTTCCCCAGTTACTACTGGGAAGTTACTACTTCCCAGCCTCTTCTTCCATGTACGCCAAATTCCAAAAAGGCAAGATCCATGTCGTGTTTTTGTCTCCTCCCAGATGTCTAGACTTGTGCTTTAACATTGTGTGCACTGATGCTCTTTTTTTTTTTTTAATGTTTAGATTTATTTATTTATTTTACAGGCAGAATGACAGGGGATGGGGGATGAGAGAGATATCTTCCTTTTGATGGTTCACTCTTTGAATGGTAGCAATGGCCAGGGCTGGGCCAGGCCAAAGCCAGGAGCCCACATGTGTGGTAGGTCTCCCACATGGGTGGGTAGAGGCTCATGTACTTGGGCCATTCTCTGTTGCTTTTCTAGTTGCATTAACAAGCAGAGAAGCCGGGACTTGAACCAGAGCACTCAGTGTTGTGGAAGGGCTGGATTGCTTTCCACACTGATATCTTCCTAACAGTATCCAACTTAGAGTCACACGCCAACACATACACCATTCACAAACACATCACAACCTTTCTACTCTTCATCATGGTAAATGAAGCCTTTGCCAAAGGACATCGAGGAAGATTCAGATGTTTGTGCCAAAAATATCACCCCAATGTATCAAAGCATCCAGAATGTGGGATGCATGTGCTTTTCCAGTGTTAGCTGCTGATGGCCCCAGAACAGATCTCCACAAAGTCACCAAGGATATCAAACTAGAAGGCCTCCAGTAGCTTCTGGCCAGGCCCCCCAGATCTGCCCTCTGCCTCCCTCCCTCCCTCCGTCTTCACCCTGGAATCCAGCTTCCCCGCTGAAACGGCGAGGTTGAACTTCTCCATCTTTCCCACCTGGAAGGAAAAGCAAATGTGGCTGGATGGAGCAGTGCTCCTCGGCAGTCCTGGTCCGAGGACGGTGAGAACAGGTCCTCCACGTGGCAGCGTGTGCTCCTGTTTCCTTCTTCCTGCTCCTCTCCCTACGGCTAACTGTCCCTCTTTCCGCAGGTTAACATTTAACTTGGAGAGAAAAAAAAATCAGCTACTTAGAATTTTGAGCAAATGTTAATCACCAGTAGCAGCCTCGGTAATATACTTTTAACATTTCTCCCGAGGTGGGCCAGGCTAATTTAGCTGTCAGAGGAGGTTCTGTCTGCTATTAACCTCCTCACCTTTTGTCTTTCCCAGGATCGTTGCTTTTGCAGGGTTTAATTGGATTAGGGTTAGGGTCTCGGACTTTCAGATCCAGAGCCTTTATTAGATGAGACAATGGAAACTGGAAGGTGTGGGGGCAGCAGTTCAGTGCCTGGCTCACAGGGGAGAATCCAGTCCTTCAGTTCCGACAAGGCCTTCCCCAGAACCTTCTCTTCAGTACCCAAACTGCCCTTTGTCAAGGAACCCCTCAGACAGGAGGGTCCAGGCAGTACCTGCTGCTCTCTTTGTTCAGGGAGGAGAGAAACAGCATAAGAAGACAGAAGCAATTGGTTTTAAAAAATAGTAATAGTTTGTGGCCTCTGCAATCAGATTTTGTCATACAATTAAACTTCAATGTTGAGGCATGCTGGGAACTTGGCTCCAGGGTTAGGAAAAACAGTCAGCACTTCAAACCATAGGCCTCTGGGGGATATGATGGACTCGGGTGTTAAAATCCTTTGAGGAAGGCGGACACAGGAGGCAGATGCTGATCGGATGGGCTTGAGTCCAGAAAGAGGATGTTCCCTCAGGACCAGCATCAGGGGGTTGGTGTCCAGCACCAGCTCGGAGGCTTTGTTCCCAGGGCATCAGTGGTAGTAGTGAATCTCTGCGATACTACCTGGCCAACACCTTTTTCTAGGTGGCTACCGTTTCTTCCCATTGACAGTTGCCATGGGTATGCCTGGCACACACCTAACTCCAACTTCATCATGTGCAGTCTTCTATCCCTTTAGTCAGGTTGACTGGCCCAGGGCTGGGCACCTGACCTAAGCTGGTCTCTAAAATGCAAAGTCTGGGAAATGCCAATGGCCTTATTTCTTGCTCCATGGATCTGGGAAGCAGAGGCCAGTTGGAAGACCCCTACCCCGAAACAACAACAACAACAACAACAACAACAAAACAATTAGTTGTCTGCAGAGAGGAGCTGAGATGAAGGGACTCAGAGAAAGATGTTTGGGTTGATGTTTCCAGCTGTTGCCGAGGCACAACTGGATCCTTGAATGGAGTGCCGCGAGACAATAAATCCCCCTTACTATTTAAGCTGGGCCATTGCTTGAGATTCGGGATTTTTGTTGTTGTTGTTGTTGTTATGACAATCATTTTTTCGGCAAATTCCTAGGCAGTTTTGACAAACAGAGTAGAGTCATCAATTGCTTACTCATTGAGTGAACTCTTGCCATCCCATGTCTCTGCATGCCCAGTCATCACCATGTGCCTCCCTGTCATCTGGTTTACTTGCTAATTCCCAAACTTTCCTCCTTGGATGGATCTCTGAAACTCTTCCTGCTTCTTGCTCTATGCCAAATCCCATGAAGTCCTTAAAACAATCGTCCCTTCCAGAGGTTACACGTAGCTCTCAGGAAGTGGAAGAAGGCAAGGGGCGGGAAGAGTTCCAGAGATCCACCCAAGGAGGTTAAGCTACTGCCTGGGATGCCTGCATCCCATGTTCGTCTGTCTGGGACCGAGTCTTACCTCCACTTCCAATCCAACTTCTTGCTAATGTACCTAGGAGGCAGCATTTGATGGCCCAAGTATTTGGGTTCCTGCTACCATGTGGTAGACCTGGATGGGATCCCTGGTTCCTGGCTTCAGTCTGGCCCAGCCGTGGCTGTTGTGGGCATCTGATGGGTAAACCAGTGGATGAAAACTCTGTCTCTCTATCTTTATCATCCAGCTTTTCAAATAAATAACTTTTTAAAAATGGGCAAAGAATTTGAATTGCTATTTCTCCAAAGGAAATATACAAATAGCTGATAAGCACGTAAAAAGTTGCTCAATATCACTAACTTTTGGGAAAATGCAAATCAAAACCACAAATCAGATCACTTCACAGCCTTTCAGTATGGCTACTATAAATGTGTGTGTGCGTGTGCACACACACACACACGAGTTTTGGCAAGGATGTGGAAAAATGTGCAGCTACTGTGGAAAACTGAATGACACTTCTTCAAAGAAGGAAAACTAGAATTAACAGGAGTGGGCAGTTAGGCTAGTGGTTAAGATGCCTGTGTCCTATATTCAAGTTCCTGGGTTTTATTGCTGGTTCTGGTTCCTAACTCCAGCTTCCTGCCAATGCAGACCTTAGGAAGCAGTGGTGATGGCTCAAGTAATTCAGTTCTTGCCATTCATGTGGGAGACCTGGATTAGCTGTTGGGCTGCTGGGCTCGCCCTGTTCAGCCCAGCCCTGTCCAATGGCCCTGTCCTGGCCATTGTGGGCATTTGGGGCATGATGGGAGCTCTGTGTGTTTTGCTCTATTTCTTAAACAAATTTTAAAAAACAACTTTACTTAAAAAGATAGAGAATTACCATATGATCCAGTGATTCCCACCTGCAATGTGGGATATATTGTCATCATACTTGTCTATGTTTAGTTCTTCACACCTTCCTTGCCTTTTGGACAGGGCTCATGCTAATCTTAGTATGTAAGGTGTTCTTTCCATCCCTGAATCCCCTGATCTGCTTGTTGGAAAACATCTCTCTTTCATTTGAACTCTGCAGGCATTTTCCTGTGTCTCACATAGGACCCTGCTCTTGTTTGCTTTGTCTCGCTTATGTCTTTATCTTTTCCACTGGACCGTGTGCTCACCAAGGGCAGAATGGCAGTAGTCTTATTTATCCTCATATTCCTTCTAGCTCACATCAGGGTTTGATACACAGCACAATTTCTATTAAAATGGTTGAAAAAGATGAATAGGGGGTGGCTGGAAGATCTTTTATTACAGTATGAGAAATGATCCCAGAATTAAATTTAGGAACATGTCCCACAGTCATGTCTATTTTCTCCCATATACATTTTGGTCTGTGAAGAGGAACAAACATCAGTCACTGGTGTGACCATGTTAGTCTTGCCACTCCTGATGCACAGGTGTACTGAGTTATTGTTTCCAAGAAAAATCCTCCTCAAAAGCCTTGTTATTCCCATACCTCACACACATACACATAGCAAGATAATCCTGGAGATTCCAGAAGTCTTCCTGCAACTACATCAAGGAAAGTCAAGATGTTCCTGGCAAATGGCCATTTTGGTTACAGTGAAATTGTATCCTGCTATGGTCTGACTGTTTGTGTCTCTCACCCAGTTTGTATATTGAAATCTTAACCGTCAAGATGATGGTATTATGCAGTGAGGCATGTGAGAGGTGGTTAGCACCCTTGTAGAAGAGGCCCAAGGGAGCTCACTGGCTCCTTCCACTATGTGACAACACAGTAAGAAGCTGTCCTCATCAGACCCCGAATCTGCTGGCACCTTGATCTTGGGCTTCTCAGTCTCCAGAACTGTGAGACATAAAGTCCTGTTGTTCATAAACCACCCAGCTAGGGTATTTTGTTAATAGCAGCCTGCATGGACTAAGACTTACTAGAAAATTGAAATTCCATATATGGTTGACACTGTATTTCTATTGTCCAGTACCGTGAGCTATGCTAAACACTTTCACCTGCATTTCTTTCACTTTATTTCTGGTGACAATTCTATGAAATAGCCACTATTATTATCATCACCGTTGGACAGAGGAGGCTCAGCGAGGGTTAGTAAGTTGCCCAAAGGTACGTACCCCAGCAGCAGAGCCACGGATCGAGCAGAGGCAGAGCTTGCAGTCGTAACATGCTGTGTCCTCTCCAGGCGCTGAGACCACAAACACACAGCTTTTGCTGCAATCAGAAAGGGTGTCAAAGTGACAAAGGGCCTCCCTTAAAAGACCTTTTGGGGATATTTTTGGAAAATGTTATACACACAGTCTAGGCTTCTTAACAGAATTGAAAGAAGAGATTATAAAATGCAAAGCAATTTTTTTAGGACTGCTTTGACATTTTAAAAATTCTTAATATCCTGGGACTCTCAAAGAATGGAGCCCAAGTCCCTCTAGGCTTGTGAGAGGCCCTGGGATCACATTAAATAATTTTCCTAGCTGCCCCCACATGCTGTCTTGGATGATTTTTAATCAATAGCGTGATGAGTGATTCAGGAATTGAGTAAGACAGGTTTAACACAATAGGGGTTCAGTGTGGGCTGGCAGCGAGACCATACTACTCACCCTTCATGCTAGGCTGTTGCTATTGATTAATTGTCCACATGAAGGCGGCAAGATGCTGAGGTAGAAGGGAAGGTAGAAAGAGGGGAGAAACATTTGACATTTCCCAAGGCCAAGTTTACTAAGAGGCTGGTGGGGAGTTGGGAAGGCAGTTACTGTATTTGCTGGGCTCTTGCTATCACTAAAAAAGTTTTAGGCTGGCGCTGTGGCTCACTTGGCTAATCCTCCGCCTGCAGCGCTGGCACACCGGGTTCTAGTCCCAGTTGGGGTGCCGGGTACTAGTCCCGGTTGCTTCTCTTCCAGTCCAGCTCTCTGCTGTGGCCTGGGAGGGCAGTGGAGGATGGCCCAAGTGCTTGGGTCCCTACACTCGCATGGGAGATCGGGAGGAAGCACCAGGCTCCTGGCTTTGGATCGGCGCAGAGCCGGCCATGGCGGCCATTAGGGGAGTGAACCAATGGAAGGAAGACCTTTCTCTCCATCTCTCTCTCACTGTCTATAACTGTCTCTCTGTCTCACTCTCACTCTCTGCCTGTCAAAAAAAAGTTCTAATACAACTACTTCTTCACCTGAAGAACTTGTGCCCCAGTGCTGGCTTTGGCCACTGTTTAAAACACAGATGTACTGTGAAGATGGGACACAGGCCAGGCCAGCCTTGCTCTGAGAGTCAGGGAGGGGTCTCTGAATAAACAAGAGGAGGGGCTGACTGAAGAGCGGACAGTGAACAGAGCCAACACTGGAAAGTGCCACAGTCAAATTGTACCCAGCTCCTGTCTTGCCTGGAGCTGCCTTCAGGAGGTGGAGTGAAGGGGGCTCACTATGTCACCACTCAAATAGGTAATTAAACAGGATTCACGGGAAGAGCAAAATCAGAGCTCCTAATTACACAGAGTAACATGAAAGGGCCGTCTTCAAATTTACTAAGACACAGTAGCCATAACCTAGCCTGATAGCATCTAGCAGGCCCAAGTCGCAGGTGCTCTGTTAGAGGCCCAGCATGCATCTATCTGTCTGCTACCAGTACTAGCATACAAGAGTTCCAGGAAGTGGGGGGCAGACCAAGCCACGAAGAGTCACTTCCCTTTCTTCCAGTGTGTTTTCTTATGAAGTACGCCAAGCACATGTGTTTGGGAGGAAAGGCATGGTGCGTCTGGGGCAGAGGGGAGAGGATGCGGCCCTCCAGAATTCCAGCTCCATCTTCCTACTTCTGGATGCCTTCAAAAGAAACTCCTTCCATTAGATTTCATTCGCTGTGAAAGGGCCTCTTCTAAAATGCAAAATCTCTCTGGGAAAGTTAAGAGACTATTTAAGCAGTTCACATATTGGTGTGAAATGGCTGAACCATGCTGCTTTTCTCCTGCCATCTCTGGAACACTGAGAATATAGATGCTTTCAGGGTGCTGGGGAGAGGCGGGCAGAAGGAAACAGAAGCCCCTCCTCCTCCTCACCTTCCTCTCTGCCTCCTCCTCCTCCTCCCCACCTCCCTCTTTTCCTCCTCCTCCTCCTGCTTCCATTTGTAGCAGGCACAAACAGTGGGGAAGACCCTGGGTGAGCTAAGAATTAGGGATGGTGATGAGAGAGCTTTGGAAATAAGGGTCATTGCTCTAAAGGAATATGTAAGAGTTCTAAAGAGGGTAACAATAATAAAGACAGGAAGAAAAAATAAAAATTGTGAATTGTTGCATATCCATACAGTACCAAAAAGAGTTTTTGCTTAGAAATTCTCTGGGGCTGGACGTGGTCTGCAGCCTCTTTACCGCACCTGCCCAATTTGAAGATCAAACCCCATACACCTTGAGAAGTCAAGCCTGGGCTGAGGCAGGAGCTGAACCCGAAGCATTTTTTTTAGCTTTTCCTTTCCTAGGATGCCTCTCTATCTAGCCTGTGCCCAGGAGGCCGTTCTGCATAATTGTAGCTTTTCTGCAGGAAAAGCAGAAGGACAGCTGCTGCTAATTTAATTCCATCCAATTTGGGTGGTATTTATTGAGCCTTATGTGTAAGGCACCTTCTTAACAATGTCCCGGCTCTCCACAACACTCACCACCCACTTCCCCCCTACGAAAAATCTGACCAGAGGATTTCCAGGCCAGGAGGGAAGCCTCCTGTCTCCGGCTGGCTGCAGCGCAAGGAGCCGAGGCTCCAGGTGGCCAAGGGAGAGAGGCTGCAGCCAAAGCCAGCTGCTCTGACATTTTGTTTTCTTTAGATCCCATTCTGATGCTGATACTACACGGGTTGCTATAGAACTGCGCAATTTAGATGTAAAGGCACATTATAGCATTGAAAGCTTATTTCCAAATGGGGGAAGAAGGGGGCGGCAGACAAAGAAGGGTCTGCTGCCTTAAGATTTTCACCCCCCCCCCCCCCCCCCCCAGTTTCCACAGCACCAGCAGTGGGAAGGGCTTGCTTCCGGGCTTCGAGGACCTCTGGGCACCAGGGAAAGAGCCCTTTGAAAAAGAGAGGCTGTTGCCCCCAGGTGTATCGGGTCCACAAGGCAGGATCCTGTCAGGGAAGGCAGGGCGGCTTCCAGGGTTCTGAGAGGGAGGAGGTGACAAAGCTGCCTTCCTCATTTCTGAAAATGGTGCCTTTCCCAAACTGCTTGTTCAAGTTCCCCCTGTGCTCTGAGCCTTCTGTTTGAATCTGGTATTGTACACATGTGGCTCCTTTAAGACGGCTTTGGGACGTTGGGGGTGGGGAGAGGAAGGTGGTGGCGGCAGGGAGGAGCATCTTGCTTTCTCTTCCTAGATAAACCAATACTTCAAAAATGGCTCTGAGAGATAGTGTAGACAGTGTGAAAAAACTTAAAATTTCCTTTCAAAAAAATGGGAAATTTTTACTCTAACTGCACAGAAGAAATTTCTCTCAAAGGGGGACAATGCAAGAAAACCCCCCAACAGTGTGTGCTGGGGCAAATACACAAAATGACTGACGGAGGGCAGAGTTTGAACAGGGGCCAAGGCACAGGCACAGCCAGGCAGGGCAGTGGATTCCAGCAGAGGCAGGGCCCAACCAGGGGCCTGGGCCATGGGATGCATAATTGGCTACCGAATAATAAAGCCAAAATTGGATATTAACAGCAATTAGTTTCTGTAGAGGCACTGGCGGGGGGGAGGGGGGAGAGTTGCAGAAAACCCCACTGGGCCTTAAGCTGTAGCAATCTGAAATTAAACCAGTGTCTCAATTAAATGGGAATAAATATTACCACGTTAATCTGTGTATGTGTGTGTGTGGTGCTAAAGGGACACCCCCTGTGCAGCCCAGTGCACCTTCCTGTGGCCCCTAGACGCCAACCCGCCCTTGACCTTGAGACAAGGTTATCTCAGGGGCACCGTCCTGTTAATCCAGACTAGCCTTGTGTCACTGACTCTTCATCCTGGTGAGTCTCACTGATAGGGACATGGCAGGAATTTGGTTCTTAGAAAAGCAGAGGCCGCGTCTTGCCCAGGGTGCCGTTGCCTTTGCCAGCGGTTCGGGAAGACTGAAGGAGCCTTCGGAGCCTCTCCTTCGACTTCCGTCTGGCGTAGGACCTGGGATTTGCAAGGCTGCAGGCGAACGTGCTCTTTTCCTTGCGGGTCTAGGCTTTTTGTTGTTGGAGCTTTCTTGGGGAGCTCTGTGGGGATGGTGAGGACAGGTCGCTGGGTCCTGGAGGGAGCCGCTGGCGCCTCGGCCTGGTCCCCGTGGGTGTCAGGGACGGAGGCTGGGGCCTAAGTGTGGCGGCCGGCGTTAGGGGCCCCTGACCCGGCCTTGAGCCAGCAAGGCGCTTCCCAGCCCCGGAGCTCCACGGGAAGCCGGGGCAAACGACAAAGTCAGTTTCTGTGAGGCGGCCCCTCCCAACCTTGCCGTCGCCGTGCCCCTACTTCCAGGCTCCACCCGCCGGCCCCAGGTTCTCACACGGTCTGAACCTTTGCGGGGAGGGTTTTCCGGGTGCGGGATGGGGTCTAGGGGCCCGCAGGTGGAGGGCGAGGGGAGCGGGACCGACGGGCGCTGGGCGCGCGGCGTTAGGCCCAGGCCTGCGGCTGGCGGGCGCGGGGGTCGCCGCGAGATTTCTTCCGGCCTCGGCCTTGGGTTTGGCACCGCCCGGTCTTCAGAGCTGACCCCCGCTTTGACCCGCCCACCGCCTCTGTAGTCGTCTCTCACGCCGACCGTCGAGCCTCTGGCGCCAGAGGGAAGATGGGGGGAATGGAGGTGGGTGGAAAATGCGGGCGCTCCCGGCACGCCGGCCTCCTGGAGCCCGTGTCGCCCAGCACCGGGGATCATGCTAAAGCTCTGGAAGGCGCGGAGGACCCACTTTTCAGGTAGGCATCATGCGGGAAAGGAAAATCATAACCAGGAAAACGGGCGCGTAAAAGGGACCCCAGCCTCTGTTCGCCGTCGCCTCTTCAACGTAAAAGTCAGAAAAAGGTCCGTGCGCGTTTGAAAGCCGGTCACCGGCAGGCCCGGGCTTGGAGCCGGCACCGCGCTGTGGAACGCGGCCTCTGGGCAGGACGCGCGCGGGAGCTCGCGGTGCAGAACGCGGTGACGTCACCCGGGTGGCCTCGGCCTCAGTATGTGGTACTGGATACGTGTAAGCAGCAGATCGACTGGATTCGAATTTATAATGGAACCCTGCACTTCAATTTTGGAAGCGAAGGCCCCTAGTGATGCTGGGGGCTTATTTTCCGGGCTTCTGCAACCATGACCCTGACCTTTTATCTTGGTAACTTTTCTATTTTAAGACAAAAGGAAGGATGGGAACACGAAAAGGTGACCCTAGTGAGAACTGCTGATTCTTCCTGACCTAGAACGTTCCTTGTTCTCAAATAGGCCTGTCTTTTCTTCTGTTCCCAGAGGCCACCTAAATTTGGAGCTCCCAGCTCTCACTGCAGGCCTCCTCACAGCCACATTCCACACAGAGCAGGGCACGCTGTCGCCAATAAATCCCCTCTGAAGTCCTTTTTCTTGTTCTACGTCTACATTTGAGATGCAGTTAGGTATTACTTAAGAAAAAAATCAAACACTTAGCAAAAGCACTCAATGAAAGAATTGTAGATAGGACTTGGAAGGAAAAACATCTTTTATTAGGTGCCATCATTTTCACCGTTGTTATTATTGACAGTGTGAATCAGCTAGCCAAGCCTCAAACACATCCACCAGCACAACTCTGCTCAGTCAGGCCCTGTTGACTCATGAGGCTCACAAGCCACCCACAGAGTAGATGAGGAAGGGGAGGCTCCATCTGTCCTAGCGAGAACACTTGGCAGCTGCCCCCAGAGGACTCCATTCTAGGGCTGGAATGGGAGGTGGAGTGGGAATATTATGTAAGTTCAGGAGAGGGAAACAGACATTTTCCCTGCGGAGATGGTATAGATAGATGGATGGATTTTTCCATGGTTAAATAACTTCTTACAAACATTAGCAAGGAATATGGTTATGGGGAAAAGTGTATGTGTGCGTGTATCAGTATCTGCCTACTGCCTAGTCTTCCCCTGAATATCTATCTGGCTGGAGCTCCTTATGTTTTTAAAAAGCTGCCCCCACTCTCCTTTGCCAGTAGAAGTAATTCAAAGTTTACCTTTGCCTCTGTTCAAAGGGTCAGATTCTTTTCTGCTCAAACAGGGACCTGGGCTGTCTTTGTTAGGGGAAAGAGTACTGCCATATACTCAATTGGAACATTCTCACAGCATTCTTCAAGTATCTTGGTATCGTTACCTTGAGAAATACGGTAGCCGGCGTCATGGTGAGGTCTGTGATGGTGGCGGACATGAACCGAGGGCACCTTCTTAGCCTATTGGTGACAGACCGCCTCAACTGTGTCCTACATTTTAATAATCACATATTTTCTCCTTCACTGAAGCCGCAGGATGCAATTAGAGGGGTTTGAATAGACAGGTAGGGATGAAGATGATGTTGAGCCTTAGAGAAATGCCTTAGATAGGTCCCAAATTCAGAGGACAAGAGGATGCTCAGGTTGACCTTCGCTCTGCTACCTCGTTTGGTGAACACACAGAGGGCCTTGCAATTACACACGGGGCAGAGCGCTCCTTTTACCTGTGCCATTTTCAGCCAGCAGAGCCCCACGTGAAAAACACACTTTGTAACGAGACCTGGGTGAACACAGGCAAAAACCCACACGGATGAACACAGACCACACCAGTCTGGAACACTCCCACACACATTAAAGCTTTCTGGAACAGGTGTTTACGTAAGGCAGAAACTGAAAAATACGCCCTCCCATCGCAGAGTCTCTGCAGCAGAAACCTGGAAGGCCTTGTCCGCGGGGCCTGCGGTTGAAGCTCTCAGGGAGATGCGTGTTAGGTTTCCACCTAAAAGGGCACTGCTTGGGGAGGCGCAGGGCATCTGGAGATTTCAGCAGAGGGCACAGCGGGGAAGGATACATCTACAGGAATTACAGGGAAGCACTCACTGAGAAGGGACTTGCTAATGTGGACGTTTGTGGGGCAAAACATTTGGCGAAAAGAAATGTAAAGCAGCCTTCTTAGTGAGCAGAGACAGGAGGAGGACCATTCAACCTATTCAAAAAGGGGGCAGCGGGGACACCAGGATCAGGAGGGCACTAGTTTCAGGGGAGGTATATTTTGAAAGCAATGGCTATGCATGCTTCTAAGGATAGCCCCTTGCCGGGGCCCAGGAGTCAGAGAAGCGGTCCGGTATTCATCTGGCTGTCCTGTATTCGAGCTTTCCTTCTGAGACTGGCAGGACAGCACAGCACCTGCAGTCTGCATGGTGTGCACAGCAGCTTCCTCTCTGCAGGGTGAGCAGGAGGTGGCACAATTCTGCAGACCCAGAGAAGGTTCTGGAAGCATCAAGTTGGGGTGCGGTACATTGAATCTTAGCCTGTCTTACTCCAAATGCTCCCTTAGGAGGGCAAATGGGGGAACCTAATGTATCCTAAGTGCACAACTGGCACATTGTAGGTACTCAAATACCTTATGGGCGAGATAGGCTATTTATTTATTTATTTATTTAATGGGTTAAGGTGGCTTTCAGTAAGCTTCAGCTGACTCTCTTAGGCCTTGATGATCGAGTCAGGAATCCAGCTATTCTCCTAAGCATCCCTACGGCCTTGCAGGGCGAGACTTTTGCCGTGGGAGGGAAGGGATGCCGCAGGCTTCCTAAGGAGGGAGACCCAGCCCTTGACCTCCTTTTTCTGCTCCTCCCTCTACTGCAGTGACCTGCCCCTCCTCCATTTTCTCCACTTGGAAGTTAATGAGTTTAGGTCCTGCCACCGGTCCCTGCAGCTCCGTGGTTAACACAGAGCTGGAGATGGGATGGGGCGGTGACAACCTAGCATTTGGGGAGGGGGGAGGGGGAAGGACCCCGCAGGAGCAGCTGCTGCTTGGGGTACAGTGATGGGGAGGAGGCCTGCTTTGGGAAGCTGGTTCTTCAAGAGGGGGATGCCGAGTCCTTTCCAGTCCCTGACAGTCTTTCCTTAGCGTCCCACCTGTCCACACAGTGCTTCCTCCTGTTCCAAGATTTTTAAAAGGATCCCACCCCTTTCCTCTGTCTATGCAGGTTGCTGTACTCCCCCCCCCCCCCAGCTCCTGGCCCTCTGCCTGAATTTGCAATAGCAACAGCCAGGAGGGCGAAGGGCTCCTGAGTGCCCCTGAAGGGGCTCCTTCCTTCATGTGCTCATAGCCCCCACAGCTCCACAGCAAAGGGCGGCCCCTCCCCCTCCCCCCACCTCAGGCACAACACAATCTATCCGAAGCCCAGGCCCAGCCGGCCCAGCCTGGGATTGTCAGATTTTAGGATTTTTAAAGGGGAAACCCAAACCTAAGCCCCGAACAAAAACAGTCACAGGGAAAGGTGATGACCCACGTACAACGCATCCCAAGCCCAGAAAAAAAGAAGCCCACCGAAGCCATCCGCGGTACAGGAGCCCCCACCCATCCGTGCTCGCGCGGGTCTACATTGCCGCCACGCATCAGCTTCAGCTTGGCTCCCCGGGTCTGTGCGCAGCTCCACGCCCCTGTCCGTCACCGGCCGCACACCTCCCCACCCCAAGGGCTTCGGTGCGGAGCACCCTCCAAGGCAGGAGCCCGCGACCCTCCCGTCACGCCCGAAGCCGCGGCTGGGTGGCTCCAGGCTCGGTTCTCGGCGGGCCCTCGCGGACCCGTGGTGCTCAGCCAGCCCCATTCTTGGCATTCACCGCGTGCCTTAATTGTATGGACATTTAAATCAAGGTCCGCTGTGAACACGGAGAGAGAGGCCTTTCTCCTGAGGAAGGAAGCCGGAAGGACGGAAGGAAGGAAAGGTGGAAGAAAGGGAGGGGGTGACGGGACGAGAAAGCGAAGAGAAAGAAAGCAAGCGCGGCGCGTGTGCGTGCGCGCCGGGCGCGGGGAGAGGGATGGGCGGGGAGCGCGGGAGGCAGGGGCCGCGGCATCCTCCCTACCGCAGCTCCCCCGGCTCAGACAATGAGGCAGCAGCGCCGGCTTCCAGAGGGTCTTTGTTGTCCCCCATCCTTCCGTATCCAGGCGTTTTCCTGCAAAGCGGAGGGGGTGTGGGTGGAAGCGGGAGCCCGAGGGGTGCCTCCCCCGTGTTAATTACCCCGGCTCCCTTAGCCCAGCTCCCCGCGCCTTGCTCCCCCTGCAGCTCCAGACAATGAAAACACAGCAGCAACCCCACCTCGCCCCAGCGCTGCAAACCCACCCACTTCGCTCTCAGCTTTGCCTAGGAAACTGACGAGGGCAAGGAACGGGGGTGGGCAGCCGGGACTTGGCGGCGGCTGCCGGGGCAGGGCGCGTGGCCGCCGCCTTTACCTCGCTAGGCGAGTGCGGGCGCAGCCGGGCCGGGCGTGCCGCTGGGGCGAACAACCGCGGTAGGGGCCAGGGTCTGGGGAATCAGCCTTCCGGAACTCGCCTGCTGCAGTCCTCTCGCTCGGGTCCCAAGTGGTGGAGGGGAAAAAGGAAAAGAGGGAAAAAAAAAAAAAAAAGAAAAAAGAAAAAAAACCCATAAGAGCGAGGCCCATCTGGCCCCTCATCAGCTTTGTCAAGTCTTGCATACGCTAAAATGCTAATGACCTAGATAGCTCATGCAAAATGCAGCAGGGAGGGAGGGAGCAAGGGAGGTGGGAGGAGGAGATGGAGTGGAGGGGGTGAAGGAGGGGGAGCTGGTGGGGGAGAGGGAGAGAGAAAGGGAGAGAGAAACACCCCTCCACTCCCCACCCCACCCCACCCCCAACTGTCAACGGGCTGCACCAGGTAATGGGTGGGCGTAGATTTTAAAGGTCACCCGTATATAATGCGGCTGCATCCCCGGGTCAAAAAAGGGGAGAGAAGACAGAGGACGCGGGTCCCCGAAGCCAAGGGGGACAATAAGACGTTCTTTTAAGCTCTGACCCTCCGACCTCCTCCACTTTGTTTACACACAGATCCGGCCGCCGCCGAGTGCGCGCACACGGACCTGTCAGTTTCCCTGGGCTCCCGTCCGCAGGCACCACCAAACTCACGCAGCGGCCCGCAGCGGGCGAGATCCCTCTCCTCCGCACTCCTCCAGCGACTGGCTCGCCCTGCTCCCCTCCGCCTCGCCCTCTAACTCCCTCAGCCCTCCAGCCGCACCGGCTGCTTTTCCAAGCCTTGGTCCCCAGTCTCCTCAACATCCGTAAGTCGGCAAGGCGAGGCCAGGGAACGAGGGAGCTCGCTGAAATCCAGCAGGGTCTCCCTCGATTCAGCCACCCCTCCCGGGGGAAACAAAAATAACCCAATCCAGCCGCTCCCCAGCACCACACGGTTAAAGCATGCCAAAAGGACAGGCAGAATTGAATCCAAGTACCCTCAGAGGTGGTCGCGCCGGGCGGGAGCCCTTAGGTGGTGGAGCCCATCGGCGTCCCAGGGCCAGCGCTCTCGCACTCCCCTTCTCTCCGAGCGCCAGGTGCTTTGTCCTGACGTCGACGCAAGGTCTTCGGCTTTTGCTTCTCCTTTTAAAGGGGGACTAGTCGTGGTCCGCAGCATTCCAGCCAACCCAAGCAGACGCAGTAGATCTACTGGAATAAAAGGGAGCGAGAGAATGCACATGCAGATGGATGAGGGAGGGATGCGGAGAGGCGAAGTCCGCATCCGGGGAGCGGCCGCCGGGGCCAAGCCCGAGCTGCTTCCCTCGCCAGGGAACGGAAGGGGCGGGCGGTGAGAAGGCGCTGGTGGTCGCTCCACCTGGCAGGAGGAAATGATAACCGTGACAAGGAGCATCATGATGATGGTCATGAACATGATATTAAAAAAAAATTTCAGAATCTCCCTTTGGTGAACCAGAGCGTGCGTGCAGGAGGGACTGCGCTGCTGGCGGCGGCGTCCCGGGGAAGGAGCGGAGCGCAGGAGGCAGAGGTTGTGAAGGCTGCACCTCCGATGAATAATAATAACGCGCAGCGAAGTCGCGGTGCAGCCTGGAAATCCAGCCCTTAGCGTGAACTCGCGTCGAGTGCGGATTGCAGGGGATGGGGAAGCAGGGGGAGGGGAGGGGAGGCGCGGGGGAGGAGGGGGAGGGGTGGAGAGGAAGGCAGAGAGGGACAGCGAGAATTTGGAGCCTTTTAATTTATCCTTACCAAGCCCTGATCCCGTTCACAGTCCTCTTTCGGTGAGGTCGCTCTCCTTTTTGAAAAATTATTATTCCTTTAACGGATTATTCAGCTAAAAGAAGCCACATCTGCTGACGGTTCCGAAAACAAGAGGATTAGGAGCCCGTCCACAGCTCCCGGCCCGCAGCCCCCTCCCGCTCTGCACCAGCACACGTCATCCTCACTGCCCCCGGCACCTCCCTCCCCTCCGTGCCTGGGGAGAGCTGTGCCAAGGAAAATGCGGATTTGGGGAAAGTGAGAAGTGGGAGCGCTCGGAAGAGCGGGAAAGCCAAGGCCGGAGGTGGCGATTCGCACCGCCCCGCCGCGCTTCCGTTTATCCGCTTCTATCCCGGGAGCAGGGGGCGCGTTCGCTGCGCCCACACGGGCCGCATCTGCAGCGGGCCGCGCCCCGCGCCCCCTTAACGCCAGCAGTCCCGGGCACTGTGTTCTCGGCGGAGGGGCGTCAAGGCTACACCTGCCGGTGCCGCGCCCTCCCCTCGCCGGATCCCCTTCCTCTGCCCCCTTGGCCGCGGCACGGCCGCTCCGGCGCTCCAAGACTCTCTCGCCCGGGCGGACGCAGTGGGGGGCACAGGGCGGCGGCGCAGCCCCGGTTCCTCGCCCCAGGCTGGAAGCGCGGGATGGGGATCCCGAGGCCCGCGGCGGGGGGAGGCCGGGCCGAGTGGAGGGGGTGCTGCGGCGGATGCAGTTGACATCACTGCGGAGAGAGCGCGGCGGCCAGGCCGCTGCGGAGACCCTGGCGGGCGCGGGCGCAGCCTCCCCCACCCGCCCCATAGCCGCGTCTGGGCAGGACCGCGCACGGGGAGAGGAGCAGAGCGCCGGGGAGGGGGCGACGGTCCCATCCCCCGCCCCCTGCAGTCAAGGTGAACGTGAAGGAGAGCGGGCACGCGCGCTCGCGTCCCGGGTGCGCGCGCGCCCCGCCCTCCGCGCGCCCTCCCGCCTGCCCGCGCCCGCCCGGCCAGATGGACGCCCGAGATTAGAGCTGCACAAAAGTGCGGCTCTGGTCAGGCAGTCCCTGTCCCGCGGACGTTGAGACTCACTTCGGGGAGGCGCCTTTTGTTGTGGGGCTTGCAGTGATGTTAGTTTGTTCCGAGAGCACGGGGTCACGTTGGCCTGAAGGAAGGACTCAGAATGAAACTCAAACCCCCACCCCCCAATAGAGCAAAACCCAAAAACGCCCCTCCCCCGAGGCTGACCCCTCCACAAAGCCTGGAGCCTGCAAGGAGACGTCTCGTCTTCCGTCTTCCTGAAGGGTCAGGGCAGTAGCCGCAACCCGGGCGATCTGCGCGCACGCAGGGCCCTTCGGCTCCCCCAGCTCTGGCTTTTCTTCTTGGACGACTTGAATTAAAAAAAAAAAATCCAAGTGTTTCTTGGGCAGCCCCGATTCAGGGCAGCAAGAGACAGGGAGAACGAGCCCTGCCAGCTATAAGCAGACAACCCCTCTCCAAATCGCACAGGCCGAGCCCTGTGGCCGCCAGTGCTCCAGCGTGCGTCCCGGCCGAGGCGCCCCCCCCCCCCCAGAGGATGGGCCCAGCGGGCTATGACCAGGGCGCTGCCCTCCCCTCCCTGAGGCCCTGCGGGTTCCTGCCAGTGACTGGGTGTTTGCCCCCATCCACGGAGGCACGATCTCAACACCGCGCAGCGCTGGCTTTTTGCTTCCAACAATGCATCGCTAGCAGCTCTTAGCAAATAAGCAGTTTTTATCAATTATTAGAAACCGAAATCTTTGGGTTGAAAGAGAGAGAAAAGGCGAGAAGAAAGAGGAGGAGGAGGAAGAGATAGAACACGTCTCTCCAGTAGAGCTTTCATTTCTGAGGCGTGTAGCTAGATGGAAAAAGCTATTAGCCAGGCTGTCTTTCTGGGGGAAAGCGTGCCATTCTGGGACCATTCCCCTCGAGCTAAAAGATTTTTCTGGCAGAACAACTATATTGGCCGTAGCTGGGCTACAGACTTCACACCATTTTGATCAGGGTGTTAGATTCAGGACTATTTGTTTTCTGTTCACCAGGAATTCCTTCAGGAAATAGCTGCCGAGCTCCACCTACAAGAGAGCGCTGGGGCTGCGGTACGGGTTCCGCCCGGCCGCGGCCTCCCGGCCCGGGCTGTTTCTTCGAGGCCTGGTTTTGTTTGGCTCGGGGACGGTTTCAATGCAGTCCCTCTTGCGCCGTTGCTGCAATGCAGGATATTTGCTCTCTCATCTTGCGGCATGGGGGGAGGGGAGCAAAGAGATGGTTTTGTAACAGGCTCTGCAGGCCTGAGCGGGAACGCCTGAAATGATGAGCCCGGGGTTACAAAAAAAAAAAAAAAAAAAAAAAAAAAAAAAAAAAAAAAAAAAGGCAGGAGGGGGAGAAAGCAGCTGATGCTGAATTAATAGTTAGAGCATGCCCCTGAGGCTTTCTCCAACCAGGGGCCACGGGTCCTTTTCCCTCCCCCCAGTCACAGACTTCATATCTGTTTTTAACCAGTCTGATCCGATGCTGGGACATTTGTGATGGCTTCTTAAAACCTAAACCCTTGGGCTTAAGTGCTGTCCGTGCTCCCGATCAAACTCACCCCAAATACTAACACGTTAAGAAATTACATTGTAAAACCTCCCCAAATCCGATTGACTAGGCTGTTTGGGGCCCATATGGCTGGACAGCTGTGCTGCTCCACGTGAAAAGACACCATTGCCCCTCGGATGGCATAAAGCAGGGGTTCCCCAGAGAGCTCAGACATGACCTAAGTATTAGCTTAGCCCGAGGTGAAGACTGAGTTAAATCTCTCTCCTCTTAGAGGTTAAAATAAAGACAACAACAAAAATCAAAAGAGGTGCACTTTTGAATTCATTGCAAATTGCATCTCTCCTGCTGGTCCCACCAACGGCAGGGAGGAAGACCCATGGAATAAACTCTCTTCGGCTTGCCTTGAAGATGATGTTAGGCAAACTGAAGACACGGGAGATGGGAAAGAAATACATTATTTGCCAAGCATACCATGTGTCAGTGACATTTGTGGCTCCCTGTTCAGAGAAGCAGGTTTCTGACCTCAGCCGATGCCTTAGTGTTAACCATAAAGAACAGCGCAATTTCCATGGTGAGAAGACGAAACCGTGCTTTAAAAAGGAAAGCCCATTATAAAATGCAGCCGGATTTAATTTTTAATATGATGGCGGATCCTCTAACGCATTCTTTGCTGGTGTTTGCATTCAGGAGGAGTGATTCATCCTGTGGCAAAAATCAAAATAACATCCTCTAGTACTTTTAAACGGGCACCTCGTTTTAAAAAGGTGTCCTGAGATAGAAGATTCTGTAACCTTCTAGTTGTGGTGCATGGAAAATTGGGGTACAGAAGTCTGTTCTAGTGAGATGTTCAGGCACATATGTGCCAGCTTGTTCTTATTTATCTGTCTGTGCATATGCATGCTCACTGGTAGTGCTCATCAGGCCTTGACAAATGCTTCAAAAATAGGAGAGAGCGAGAGCGAAAGAGAGAGAAGACCCTCACAAATCAATCTGGAAAGTGAAGTAAAGGAAGAAGGCTGGTTATATTGTTAAATACAAAAGCTGTTAGTCAAAGGCAGTCAACATTGTTTTGGAAAATTATTTCAATAGTGAAACTACCTCATTTGAAAGCTTTATATAGATTTAGATGGTACTGAAGTGTTCCTGTGTTCCTTTAATGTTAGTTCAAATCTTTGGAAATAGCTACAGATAGTTCTGCAGTTACTGTGTCTTTCAAAAAAAAAAAAAAGAACGAAGCCATTTTGGAGGTATTATCTGGACAGCAAAGCTGATGATGCAGGCTTGGAGGCCATTTGGTCTCCCTCTTCTTTGTGTAAAAGAGGAAAGCAAGGCCCAGAGAGATGGAAGAAGTGTTTTGCAATGTCTCACGAATGCTTTGCAACAAATGCAGTGACAAAGTTAAGAATAAAACCTGGTTCTCTTCATTTCTTGCCTGTATATTTTTTCTCATATTTAAAATGTAAAGGTTTCCTTGTGATTTTGGTAAATAAAAGAAGGCGCCTACCCCAGTGCATCCAAATAACGTTTAGCTTGAGTTGCATTTGGAAATTCAAAATTCCCTATTTAAATTTCTCTAGTTTCAGCGGATAGTTAAGCAAACACATTCAGCCAGCCTCCTGTGGCCAGAGAGTGTTAGGGCAAGAGCTACGTGGAAGTGTCAGAGCCTTTGACCGAGTGAATTACATATCGAAGCATGTCTGGAAAATTGTCACATGGAAGATAGGACAAGAGGTCCTAAGGAAGGACTCCTGTTCCCCCAACACTGAGCTGTGGGAAGCAGTGTCCTTTCACCAGCATTTTGGGGGAAGGATGTGACAAGCGTCTCTGATACAAATTGGGTTTATCGGTGGCAGCCACCACGTCAATTTGTTTTGTTTCGATGTTATTTAATAAATTATTCATGTGGCACAGAAAAGGGGTCTTAACAACAAAAATCAAAAGAAAAATAAATTGTGGCAGGACGCTTACGTGACCTTGAGCAACGAAGGCACTTGCTTGTTTCCTATCCTCTTCATTGACACCAGTAGATGATTTTCTGAGGTCCCTCTCAGCACAAAAAGTGGATGATGCTGTTGTTTTTAAGAAAGAATCCACATGTTCCTGAGTCTGGAAGACATTGTCTCTCTTTTAAAATCTAGCTGGCAGGCACTGCTCAGAGCCGGGAAAGTTGAATACGGAAAGCGAAGAAGAAAGTAGTGTGTGTGTGTGTGTGTGTGTGTGTGTGTGTTTAAATGGCATTCATCTGAAAGTATAACCCTCTTTATTTTGCTACCTCTCTGGGTCAGGGAAAGGTCCCTATATCAGGTGAAAGCATTTTCCTATTCCCCTTAGAATGTCCCAGCTCAGTGTAACCGCCTGCCTCCTGCGCCTTCACATAAGCAGATTCAACCTGAGCGG